AAAAAAAAAAAAAAAAAAAAAAAAAAAAAAAAAAAAAAAAACAAACACTTCTCCCACCTCACTCGTCTCGATGACATCAGGTTACCATAGAAACCGCGATAAGCAGGCTCTTCATCAATACCGGAAGTGCCTCTGAAGCACTCTTCCCTTCTTCACTTACCTTTCTGCTCAAACAAAAAGCCTTCAGTACGCAGGCTACTGCCTTAAAAGCCTAATTCAAGGGTCTCGGAAAGGATGCAGACAATTGTCTGAGTGCTTTTCAGCCTGCACAATCTCTACAGTCAGATTTTTTTCTATAAAACTGACCTTTAACCAGCATTATCAGTATGCACAGACTTCAATATGTCTCCTGAAAGTCTCAGAGATGAGCTAGCCCTCTGATGGGAACAAGAAGCATACGCACACACTCCATCTTTGTAAGAAAACTGAAATTTCTCTCTAATGCCTATACAAAATGCCAAAGAAACATTTAAAATATTGTCATTTAAGGAATCTCAAAATTAATTCAAAAATGCAGTGTTGATACATTTATTTGTTAAATATAAACTTAACAATTCAATTGAGCCATATTGGGTTATGCTAGGAAACTCCTCCACTTCGTATATTTTTCTCCAGATAATTTTTTTCTCAGCATCATCCACGACTAAAGAACATGTAAGTTTTCTGAAGACTCCATCCTCTGTCATAGAAATCACTTGGCTGAACATATTTTGGACATGAAAACATGAATAACTAAGTCCAGGCCCTCTCCCTTCAAAACTCTTAGTTATATTCTTTACTTAGCCAACTTACATTTTGCTGTGCCCTCTGGTCTGGAATGTTCTAATAGGCCCAAAGCTCATTTTCCCTGTCATTGTCTCTCTGAATACACAGGTATACCATGGTCTCCTCTCAAATTCTACAGTCCTTCAGAGGTACATTAAACACACCCTTCTCCAAATATGAACAATAAGCTAACTGAAAGCTACAACAAAATTCATGGATGATATATCAAATTTATCTTCTATGTATGAAAATAAAGGGGCTGGCAAGACAGCTCAGGCAGTAGTGACACTTATCACCAAGCCTGATCACCTGAGTTCAAGCCCCCAGAACACATATGATAATAGAAAAACTAACTACTGAAAACTTGTCCTCTGACCTCCATACATGCATTGTGACATGCAAGCACTATAGACAATCACACACAGTAAATAAATAAATAAATAAATCTTTAAAATTTAGAAGTGAAAATATATGAGAACATTTTTCAACATAAATATAGGAAAATATTGCACATATGGGAATGCAAGCTAAGATGGGCTGGTTGAGGGACAGACTTGTCACCCAACAATACTGCATAGGAACAGCAGACAAAGATATGCCATGCTGAAGCCTTCCTGTGTACATGTAGAAAGTAGCTTCCTGGACAAAGGATATCACTGTGGCAGAAGAAAGTGATTCTGAACAGCTTATTTGAGGACTACTTTTTGGTGGAAACAAATAGCCCTTATTTTGATAGTGTATTCACCAATCAAATATCAGAGCTTGTAGTTGTCCCTGTAGCTCATCAAGCCTCTTTGTGACAACGCTGTATACTGTTACAGTGGGCTCTTCCTTTATGGAGAGAGATGTTAACTAATCTCCAAATTCTAAGAGCATAGTGAAAATTATACATAACAACGATTTATGTTAAAGGTTCTCATAAATTCACAGCAACCATAGCAAAACTTAAACTAAATGTCCTTTTTCAGATCTTAAAAATGTTAAGATTGGCCGGGCATTGGTGGCTCACGCCTTTAATCCCTGCACTCGGGAGGCAGAGACAGGCAAATCTCTGTGAGTTTGAGGCCAGCCTGGTCTACAGAGTGAGTGCTAGGATAGGCTCCAAAGCCACAGAGCAAAACCAAAAAAAAAAAAAAGATAAAATTGTCCCATTCCTTTCCAATGATTAAAGCCTACAAAGAGGGAAGGTGCATCAAAATTTCATGGTTTGCACTTCCATTATTTAATAAAACACACACACACACACACACACACACACACACACACACACACACACACACACACACACACACATATTAAACCCTGTCATTTATTTATGGGTTGAAAGGGCTCACCTGGGTGATTTGTGTCCCCTGCATTGTGTGTCACCCGTAGTTGTAGCCACCTGGAGGTTCCCCTTCCTTGAGACATTAGGAAACCTCCCTCAAACCAGTGACCACTGGTGATGGCAGCTACAGAAGCTCACCTGGGACTTTGTTTAGAGCATTTTGGCTCTACTCCACAGAGTATTCCAAGTGCAGAGCTACCACATTAAATTTAATCCAGTTAAATTTGAATTTCAGGTCACAACAAATAGTTATACTAATGTGGGATATGATTCTCTTTATCTGAAATGTAAGTGAAACTGGATGACCTACATGTATACAGATTTGTTAAATCTGACAACTCAGGGGAAGAGACTTGGAGTTCTATAAGAAGACAATAGAAGACTTCTAAAAATAGATGCCTACAAAGCAACAGAGCATAGAAAGCTGTGAGCAAAAGCTGAGAAGATTGACAGGGGAACAGACAAGTGAGAAAAAAAAAAAAAAAAAAAAAAAAAACAACAAGGTTCCAGACGAGCTGAATGCCATTGTCCAAATGTATCTGTTGGGTGTGTACACTACACTCTATCTAAAAACAAGGGAATGTACACTCTTTAAATGGCTGTGGGTCATTCATAACTGTGCGGGCCTGCGTGCGTGCGTGTGTGTGTGTGTGTGTGTGTGTGTGTGTGTGTGTGTGTGTGTGTGTGTGT